GCTGGTAGCGGCAGCCAGTTTGTTTACATCGAGCGGTGCGCACCGTGATCCACGTGAAATGGGTGTTGTGGGAAATTTTGTTCCCCTGAAATATTCTGTTTCCCTTAGGCAGTCAAGAGCAAATATTTCCAAATCCACAGAACTTATTGTCCATTATGAGGACCAAACTAGCTCGAATAAAAGATGTTAAACTGAGTGAGATTACATCTTTTTTACATAACTTTCAAAAATGATAAATAAGCTTGCTGCAAAAGAGTGAACAAGAATGTTTTTACTGTATCTTTTTTATTGTTTTTTGGAGGAATTGCAATAAATATCACAAGCATAACATTATTACATCACGTTACATCTTTTTCCCGTAAAGTTTTTCACAAATATTGTGAAAAAAGCCAGAAGTGTGATCTCCTGACACAGGGGGACAGAATATTTCAGGGGAACACAATTTCTCACAACACCTGATCTCCCGGCTGACATCACCCCTCCTCCGTGTGTGAATGGTGACAGCTTCAAGATCTAACAGAACTAGCTTGCTTCCTTCAGAACTGGCAGGTTGATAAAACAGTTGTAATTGTAAATGCTTTTTAAAAGAGGTCGAGTAGCTTGTTTTAAGCTTTGTGTGGGTTAGGCTACACAGGTTGGAAATTGATTATACTGTAACGTTCTGCACTTTAGCTGTGTTCTATGTGAGAATGTTAGCAGTATGTGTTCCATGTGCCACATTCTTTGCAGCTAATAGTTCTGTTGTGCTGGGTTCTCTTTTATGGTAATAGAGTGGAATGGAGGGGGGGTTCTAGGAAGGGGGAGGGGTTGTTAGGTTTTTTTTTGGTCTCGCTCTTTGTCCGTTGGTTTTGGGCTCTGTGTCTCGGCGTGGTTGTGGCCAACAGCAACTTTTTTGGAGTCATTAAAAGGACTGAAGCATAAACGAGCGTCTCCGACCGTTATTGTGTCCAACGGGACGTTACAATACATTCAAACTCATGAGGGCACCACCATAGCTGCAATACTTTCTCTGAACTGCATGACCATGGACGTAATTTTCACTTTAGAAGTGGGGGGGGGGGGGGGGTATCTTTACAGCATGCTCTAATGGGAAACAGGCTTCAACACAAACGGTTGTTTTCTGCTTTGTCCTTGAGCTCAACCAGTGTCACTTTAATATAGCATAATGTTGTTTTTGGATGGTAAAAAGTGCAGGGGTCAAAACTTGACTTTGGAAAAAGTGGGGGGGGGCATGTCCCCCAGTTCCCCCCCAAAATTACGTCCATGTGCATGACGCTAAAGAGTCGCATTTTTTCATCATGATTTCAATGTATTTCACATACGGGGCCTTTAAAGTACCCTTTTATTTACAGAGTTCAAAAACATTTGGTAAATAAAAACAATATAGCCATAGAAGTGTTTCTGGACAAACGAAGCCCAGTATGAGCAAAATAATACAAATGTTCGTTAAATTATAAACAAATAAAAAGTTCAGGTAGATTTACGATTACAATAATATGCAAACATTTCGTTAGCCTATTTTAGAAAACAATGCCGTCAATTTGCAGCAACGCCATGGTGGCATCAGATATCCTTAGATCGTTTAAAAGTGCACAGACCGTGATGGTAATGTTGCACAATCAATGTTGTCATTTTTACAAAAAGTTAGGTGATGGCAGACTTGCATTTATTTTAGACATAACTTACTTTTAATTGCAATTGAAGCCATGCTAATTAAGTTATTTTAACAAGCTTTTAACAAGGTGTTTGTCCTCCACAGTCCCTGTCTGGTGATCTGAGCTCCAGCTCTAACAGAGAAAAGCTCTAGGAGCGCCGCATTGCTCCAGTTTGCCGTCTCAGCTGATTCTTATTACAAAAGCAAAACTTAAGGCCCACGTTTGCCTTCATTTTTAATATATTTCCCTTTTGGAGATCGGCAGTAACTCCCCACGTGATCATAACACCTCCCTCTGTTGCGCCAAGGCATAAAATGCATTCCAGTGTTGTGATGTTACTACCAAGCGTGGTGGCACGAATGCCGCAAAATTCCCGCATCGCCATGCCGCCACGGCGCATTCATAAGACACACCGTGGCAGCAGTGTTACGCTGATTTGCTGGCTTGGTGTGTCCTCTAAAATGGGCATTTGACTCATGTTATGACAAGAATAACCAGTTGGCAGGATCTTAAAATAACAGTGACTCAGTTATTCCTAATAAAAGTGTCGCCCACAATACATTATTTTTCTTTGTGTAAGCGTCAAAATAGAAATATTTAGAGGATGAAACAAAGTCAATGTTGAGAAAGAAAAATAAAGACCTTTGTTTCCAGAATAAAGTAGGTTTATTTATGGTAAATTAGTGGACAGCACTGGAGCTATGTCTTGAAACACTAAAATATTTTGCGTAAATTGTGACTTTCTACTCCAGATCAGGTTTAATTAGCTTAATTAGACACATTCTCATAACTTGCATCTGGATCTGTAAAAAAATTGTAAATAGTTCCTCAGAATCCTTTTAGGCTGAGTCTTAGGACTTAATAATTAAACAATGTTAGATGTTTTGAGGTGCATGTGTAAGTTTGAGACTTTTATTGTGAAGGATTAAAAAGAGGTTATTCAAGCTCCACTGTTGACTCAAAAGATTGCACCACATATTCAAGAACATATCAAGATTTTTGTTGTTTAGTTAGTAAAAGCACTTCAATAACTGTTACTAAAATAGAAAAAGTGTACACAACAGGGTTTGACCAATTTTTACTTTTTCTGAAAATAGTATTTAAATGTAGTTTTTCTTGACAAAATCAACTATTTTCTTAGTATTTTGACTTTATTCTATAAATAGTATTACTACTAAATTTGGGAACAGTATGTCAGAATTCTGAGAAAAACGTCAGAATTATGAGATTAAAGTCAGAATTCTTACTTTTCTTGTCATGTGGCCCTAATCCTCTTCTGTCTGCCCTGCATATCTAGTCTAGCCAGTAAAAAGTAATTTATTTAAACTTTGTGATTAAAGAAAAATAATAAACTCTGTATTTATTTTTAGATATCACAGAATCTATATAACCATCTTGAATGTTTACATCACAGAAATGACAAAGATCTTTAGCTCACAAGAACCATGTGATCTTAGAGAAATAGTAGATTTTCCCAGATAAATAAACAGCAGATATAAAATAAAAAACGAGTTTAAATGTGATAAATGGGGGGCATGGAGAGCCCGTGGTGTCCATGCTTTCAATGGGGCCCCACATTTATTACACCCACCTCTGGCTTTATTACTCAGTTTTATAGCATAATTGCCCCAACTAGTTGCACAGAAGCTCAGATGGAGGTCAAAACAACAGACTGATAAACAGAAAAGTGTTTTCATTCAGAGGAAAACGCGCGAACAAAGCAAGGTGAATTATGTAGCCTGGGTATTGGTGGAAGTCGCGAATGGGCGGCTGCTTCTGAAGTTTTATAACAATGGAAATTTACAGAGAATACCCACAATGCATCGCGGCTCCTTTTCTAGCGTATTTATGGCCGGTTAGCATCCATTTCTCCGTCCATTCCCAAACATAGCTGCTGTTCAAGTTTGGTTTGGTCGCTGCACCGGCCAGCAGCTCCCTCTCTCTTACACACACACACACACACACACACACACACACACACACACACACGCACACACACAACCGGGGGGGTGTTCGCGGTGTGAAGGACCAGGGGAACGCAGAGGTAGGCACTGCCAGGTCGGCTTGTCGTCACAATTTGTCCCGTCTTAGCGCGCAAAATGCGAATAATCAGCATCCAGCGTCGGAGGAGCGAGCTCCGGGGTTATTTACCGGGAATCCGGAGAGTTTTAACCCGCCGCTGCAGCTCTTCTCCGAACCGTTACATGATGCCGGCGTTACATGTGCGTGTGTGTGTGTCTCAGAACTGAGCCTTGTTACATATATCACCATGTATTCACTCCGAGCGTCACCGACACGCCGACAGCGGACGGTGAGGCATGAAAGCCGGTGTGCTCATTCTATCAGCGTTTCTATCAGGTCACGTGGTTCGGAATTTAGAAGGGAGAAAACCGACTGGGAGTAGGTCACGTGGTGTTACGTCACAATTCGCTAAACATCAGAGAAAGTGACCCAAAACACAAAGAATAATAGAATAAATAAAAATTAATTACATAAGAACTTACTAAATCTGATTGTATTTAATTTCAGATTGACTCAGAGTTTTTCAGATTAAAAAAACTAAATAAACAGATTTGAACTTTGTAAAGCAAATACTTCAGTGTTTATACTCACTAAATACAAAGATGTGGATGTAAGTATAGAAGTTATAGGGATGGGGCCACACGGGCATTGGCCCCCTGCTGAAATCTGATTGGCCTGTCCCGAAGTGCCCCTGTCCTTATCATCTACCCTTTGCGCAATGATTAGATTATAAGTGGATGCAAGTCCAAGTCAAACTACTGGTGGTGCTAATGAGCCAAATTAGAATTTCCTATGTGAAATCTTGTGTAAAGACGTTGGACCAATTCTTGGCCCTTTTATGAATATTGTGGCTCTTTGATGTCCCCATGCTCAGAAAAATCCTAAATCCACCACCAAGTTAGTTTTGTGTTGTTTCAGTGACCATTAATTGTTGAATTTACCTAACCAACTGTTAGAACCAGTTTATAAAAATTCACATGTAATCTTTTACAGTGTAGGTTTTATGTTTTCTCTAACAGGAGGGCACCAACATTTTCATCCACTTTTGTATTATGAATCAACGTTTTACAAAACAGACATGTTGAAATGGACGAATTCCACCATTGGGAGTCCTGTGAGATACTGATAAAAAGAACACACACCCACAGGAGTTGTCCTTGAGACACATCTCAGATAAGCGAGTCCTCCAAAGCAACAGTCAGAAACTTATTGCAACTCCTTCGGATTCCGTAGATTCAGCTAAAATGTGCATATTTAGTTTCGTTTTTGTCTTTTTTTTTAAACTTTTGTGACTAATTTGCTGCTTATGTCTCTTCTGTTTAGGGGTGTGTGTGTGTCCCTGCCAGAACCAGTGATGGCCGACCTGCAGCCTTCACACCAGACTGACCAGCCGCTGAACAAGTTCCAGCAGGGACACCTCCCCAACGGAAATCAAGCGCCTGGAGATGGCCTGCAGGCCAGAGGCCAGTGGGCCAGCAAGGCGGAGTTCCTCCTGGCCGTGGCTGGACAGATCATCGGGCTGGGGAACGTCTGGAGGTTTCCATACCTCTGCTATAAAAACGGAGGAGGCAAGTTCAGGATGTTTCTTTTCAAACACGGTTGGAACAATCAGAACTGGTGAGATATAGTGGTTTTGTTTTACCTTAATAAGCACTTTCTGTGTGCAGGCGTGTTCTTTGTGCCCTACCTGTTGTTCCTGGTACTCTGTGGGATCCCTCTGTTCCTCCTGGAGACCTCTCTGGGGCAGTACACCAGCCTAGGGGGGGTCAGTGCCTGGAGGACTATCTGCCCATTATTTGGAGGTGTTTTGCTCTTTTACATTAAAGCTGAAAAGTGCCTTTTTTACCATAAAATTATTTTTCATTAATCCTTTTATGGTTATTTTTATAATAGAGGGAAGAATTTACGTTCGGCGTGAAATGTATTCTTTTAAATTTGGGTTTGAATTTACCTTTGCTGCTTTGGACGAGATTTAATGCAGCATTAGTGGAAAAGAATGGACTTCTTCACCCAAAACCAAGGTGAGAGTTGTTAGAGAAGAGTGTTGGGACCTTAACTAGCTCCCAGCCACTTGTTTTAGTTATCTATCCTTATCAGTCTTCATCTTTGCATTATTAGCGCAATAACCTTTAAAATAGCAATTTCTGCCAGAGAACTCACAGTTCAATCTTTTCCTAAAAGCTTCAGCCCTGATTTAGAGGATGGATGAATGGATGGAACGATGGCTAAAAAAGGATGTATGGATGGATGAATAGAATAGTAAAATGGCCTGTATTTGTGTAGCGCCCTCTTGGGTTCTACAACCCCAACTCAGTGGCCTAGTGGTATGAGTGTCCACCCTGGGACTGGGATATCGGGATTCTAATCCCAGAAGCTCCCCACAGGGATGGGTCAAATGGCAAAAACAAATTTCACGCACCAGTGTGACAACTATGGGACTTTCATTTTAACAACCCCCATGACGATTCACAACACAATCGTCATCACCCATTCAAACACACATTTGCACACTGGTGATGATCAGCCACCGCTGCCCTGGGGCGCACTGACAAAGGCGAGGCTATCGGACACAGAGGCCACCAGCCCCTCTTACCACCACCAGCAGGCAAGGTGGGTTAAGTGTCTTGCCCAATGACTACGATTATTGTGTCAACAATTCGATTAGACTACGATTATTGTGTCAACAATTCGATTAGACTACGATTATTGTGTCTTCGATTCGATTATGATTATTGTGTCAACAATTCGATTAGACTACGATTATTGTGACAATGATTCAATTCGACTACGATTATTGTGTCAACAATTCGATTAGACTAAGGTTATTGTGTCAACGATTCAATTTGACTACGATTATTGCATCAACGATTAGACTACGATTATTGTGACAACGTTTTGATTATGATTATTGTGTCAGTGATTAGATTCAATTGCAATTAATGCGTCAACGATTCAATTCGACTAAGGTTATTGTGTCAACGATTCAATTCGACTACGATTATTGTGTCAACAATTCGATTAGACTACGATTATTGTGTCTTCGATTCGATTATGATTATTGTGTCAACAATTCGATTAGACTACGATTATTGTGTCAACGATTCAATTCGACTAAGGTTATTGTGTCAACGATTCAATTCGACTAAGATTATTGTGTCAACAATTCAATTCGACTACGATTATTGTGTCAACAATTCGATTAGACTAAGGTTATTGTGTCAACGATTCAATTTGACTACGATTATTGCATCAACGATTAGACTACGATTATTGTGTCAACGATTCAATTCGACTACGATTATTGTGACAACAATTCAATTATGATTATTGTGTCAATGATTAGATTCAATTGCAATTAATGTGTCAACGATTCTATTCGACTACGATTATTGTGTCAATTATTAGATTATGATAGGCTGTGGTGAAACGCTCTGCCTTAAAACCTTAAAACATACTGAAAACCTAGAGGACACGTCCAATTCTTGTCTTTAATTTAGTTGATAAAATCCAAAATGGGTCCATATATTAGCTTTTATTGTCTGAGAAGCTTTAGAGTCAAATATTTTTGCTGGTAAGGGTGTAAGAAATAAATAACACCAAATGAAATGTTTGGCTTAGTTTTCAGAAATGTTGTAGAATGGATCAAATTCTGTTTAATGCAGAAAATAAAATAGAATAGAATACACTTGTTAATCCCACAGTGGCGAAATTCACTTGTTACAGCAGCAAAAAACTCGGATCGGTGGGTTTAGTAAAACCTGTTATTTTGAACTTTCTTCCTGAAGTTTAACAGCTTTAAAGTTCTTTGAAAAGGCAAAACAGATGCAACAAAGACAGGAAGTACACTAAAAGATCAGTAAATGACTCTAAACTGATGCTAATGTGTAAAATTCTCTCTTGGCTGCATGTTTATTGTCAGATTAAAAGCCTGAATTTCATGAGCAGACACCATAACCAGCTGTTTGTCTGAACAGAACTCCAGTCCAGATCTCATGAGACAATCACTCATCCCCATGAAGCCTAAGTAGGTGTAGGCAGCAAGCAGTGTGTGTGAGTGAAAGGACGCTTTCATCTGGAGCTGATGGTGAAGCGTGCCAGCATGGAGGCTTTGATGATGATTTATGTGGAGATGTGATCCGGTTGTGTCCCTGCAGGCCTCGGCTACGCCAGCCAGGTGATGATCCTGCATGGCTGCGTGTACTATATTGTCATCCTGGCATGGGCCCTCTTCTACCTGTGCTACAGCTTCCAGGCGGAGCTGCCGTGGTCGCACTGCAACAACACGTGGAACACCAGTGGGTAACGACAGAACGCAGCGCCGTGGAGAACGTGAGCAAGAAGTAAAAGTTTGTTAACTCCGTCCTGCAGATGCGTGCGTTTTGTTCGAGCACTTCAACCAGAGCACCAACGGGAGCAGCCTGCCGGAGAATGCCACCTCTCCTGTCATGGAGTTCTGGGAGTGAGTGTGAAGCGTTTAGATGTGGGTGTCCATGGCGGGTCTAGGTCTAACTGCTGCCTGTGTGTTCCAGACGGGAGGTGTTGCGTCTGTCGGACACTTTAGACGAGCTGGGTCCAGTCAGCTGGAAGCTGGTTCTGTGTCTGGCCGCCGTCTGGCTGGTCTGCTACTTCTGTGTCTGGAAGGGGGTGAAGTCCACCGGAAAGGTGAACAGAAACTACAGCACAGCCTGACCTTTGACCCCAAAGACCTCAGTGTCCTCCTTTAGTGACTGACCCAGAGCACGACCCAGTTTTTATAGAAAGAACAAGCAGATGAACGCAGATTCTGGTTTCAGCACTGATCCGGCTGATTTCAACTAGAATTAGCAGATGTTCACTTTACATCTGTTACATTTCAGGTACTTAAACCACCAATCCGGAGTTTTCCCTCTTTCAGGAATTACGTTAGCCAAAACCAAACGTAAATGTAGCAGGTCGGTCTAGCCATGCTCCATTGAAGCCTCAGCAGCTCTACCATTGGCTTGAACAATTTTAGGTCTGCCAATCACAGCACTCTGTTTGTTGGGCAGGCTTAACACCAGAGCTGCAACATAGAAAACTACAAAGATGGCGTCAGCTCAGGAACGGTGATCAAATGGAAATGGCTCTGGTATAAACTTTGGGCAACTTAAACATGAGATTTTCTTTGATGACATGATCAGACATGAGTACTTAAGTCCTTTATTTTGAAAAAAGATGTGTTTGCCTCTTCATTGATGGCGTACAGCGTACCGCCCCGTTGACTGATTTCCGTCACATTGTTAATAGCTCTGATTGGTCCTAGCATTGTCCAATAGCGAGCCACAGTTTGAAAGACGACAATAGTCCCCACCCTCTTTCCATGGTTTTTAATGGTTGGTGGCCAGACTATATATTTACATATATAGGACGCCTTGCCAGGTTGGAATTATGTATGATTATTTTAGAAATCCGTAAACGCGATTGTGATAAAACAAAGGCGTCAGTTTCTGTTTTACTATAATGACCAAACAACATAACGTGACAATAACTTGTAAAATGATGTCTTTTAGCTCGTTTGGCTGACTAGAGGTTGCCTCCAGCTATAATCATGGAAGTAAGGAGAGTGGCTTAAGGTGCTATATATTTTTCTGGCCTCTAGATGGTGCCCTCTGAGAATAGAATCAAGATTTCTTTTCTGATAAGTAAAAACGTCCACATCTAGAGAAAATTACTACTCAGCCATGATGAGTTCAGACTGGGAAAAATTTTGGATTTTTTCTACTGCTGCTTGGTAACGGTGCGTTCACGGACCAACAAAAACATGTGATCAGTACTGGGTGTGACCCCCTTTTGCCTTCAGAGTCTGTTGTATGTTGACATTATAGGATCACGCAGTTGCTGCAGGTTTGTCGGCCGCACATCCATGATGCACATCTCCCGTTCTACCACATCCCAAAGGTGCTCTATTGGACTGAGCTCTGGTGGAGGCCATTTGAGTACTTTGTGATGTTCAAGAAACCAGTCAGAGATGATTTAAGCTATATGACGTGGCGCATTATCCAACTGGAAGCAACTATCAGTCATCTTCCCTGCAGAAACACGCCCCTTCAAGATCACTTCGCTTCGCTGCCAATAACCTACTGGTTGTTCCATGAAATGACAGTATATCACATTACAGGGGAGGCGATACGATGTATATCACAATGCGGGGGGGGGGGGTTACGATATATATCACAATGCGGGTGGGGGGGCGATACAATGTATATCACATTACAGGGGAGGCGATACGATATATATCACAATGCGGGGGGGGGGGGTTACGATATATATCACAATGCGGGTGGGGGGGCGATACAATGTATATCACATTACAGGGGAGGCGATATGATTTATATCACAATGCGGGGGGGGGTACGATATATATCACAATGCGGGGGGGGGCGATATGATGTATATCACAATGCGGGGGGGGGCAATATGATTTATATCACAATGCGGGGGGGCGATATGATGTATATCACAATGCAGGGGGGGCAATATGATATATATCACAATGCGGGGGGGGGCGATATGATATATATCACAATGCGGGGGGGGGCGATATGATATATATCACAATGCGGGGGGGGGCGATATGATTTATATCACAATGCGGGGGGGGGGCGATATGATGTATATCACAATGCGGGGGGGGCAATATGATGTATATCACAATGCGGGGGGGGGGCGATATGATATATATCACAATGCGGGGGGGGGCGATATGATTTATATCACAATGCGGGGGGGGGGGGGCGATATGATGTATATCACAATGCGGGGGGGGCAATATGATGTATATCACAATGCGGGGGGGGGCGATATGATGTATATCACAATGCGGGGGGGGGGGCGATATGATGTATATCACAATGCGGGGGGGGGCGATATGATTTATATCACAATGCGGGGGGGGGCGATATGATGTATATCACAATGCGGGGTGGGGGGGCGATATGATGTATATCACAATGCAGGGGGGGGCGATATGATTTATATCACAATGCGGGGGGGGCGATATGATTTATATCACAATGCGGGGGGGGCAATATGATGTATATCACAATGCGGGGGGGGCAATATGATGTATATCACAATGCGGGGGGGCGATATGATGTATATCACAATGCAGGGTGGGGGGGCGATATGACGTATATCACAATGCGGGGTGGGGGGGGCGATACGATGTATATCACGATGTGGGGGGGGGGGGGTACGATATAAACTTAGGCCAGACGTTTCCACGATAACTCCGGTGTTATAGCTAAATCTGGTTACTGAAATAGTGTGGAAACCTGAAGGGTTTCCTCTGAAGTTGTAGATTAGGTCCTGTGCAGCTACCGTCCACTTTTGCGTGCGTAATAAGCAGCGATGGGAATTGTGGCATCAACAAGTCATCTACATGTGTGTTTTTGTGCTGCTCAGCAACTGAACCAGGTTCATTCACTGTGCCGATTGACGTCACTTGGTTTAATTGCTAAGAGGAAGAAAAAACATGGCATGGAGATGACTTGTTGATGCCACAATTCCGCATCTCTGGTAATAAGAAATAAAAGAAATAAACATTAACGCTGCTGGCAGTGGCCCATTAAGGTCATCGTGGTAATTGCACGTCTCTCACTTCTGGCATGAAAGCTTTAAGAGTCGGCCTCAGACAGACAGTAGGTGCAGAATTTCTCCTCCAGGTTTGAGGGGATTATGTTCAGATTTCCTGGATGTCAACGGAAGCTCAGGTGTGGACTCTATCTAGTCTGAAAGGATTTGAGAGAAAACCACAAGTCCTACAGAATAATGACACTTGGTGGGTGGAAGGAGACAAAAATCTTAAAGCTCTGATGTATAATTTATGTAGGAAAACCTTTGAGGGAATCAGGAGTCAGCAAACACAGATTGGGAATCTTCAGTAGTTTCTGATTTTTTCCTTTTTTGACAACAACTCTTAGACATCTTCTCCCTTTGACCTCTCTGTGACCATGTCAGGTGGTGTACCTGACGGCCACCTTCCCGTACGCCATGCTGCTTGTGCTGCTGGTGCGCGGCGCCACACTACCCGGGGCAATGCAGGGCATCGTCTACTACCTCAAACCCAACCACACGCGCCTGGCCGACCCACAGGTACAGAAGCACATCCCAAGACACGGAATACTGTTTTGTTCCATTTTTAGGGTTTAATTCGTTGAATCTGCGTTGGACGACTTCCCTTTAACCCTCAAAAACAAACGGGTGAAATGTTTTCTCTGCAGGTGTGGATGGATGCAGGAACCCAGGTCTTTTTCTCCTACGGAATCTGCTTGGGAAGTCTCACAGCTCTGGGAAGTTACAACAAATACAACAATGACTGCTATAAGTGAGACCCCCTACCCCCCAGCTCACACACACACACACACACACACACACACACACACACACACACACACACCGCTTGAGGTGAACCATACATACTGAAATGTAAGACGTTAGCTCCCGCTGGTCAGAAGGAATGGCAGGAATGAAAAGACCACACCTCAAAGAAAAGCCCTCTCTGCCATGTTTCCCACAGTCTGTCTCTCTCTCTCTCTCTCACACACACACACACACCTCAGGATTTTACTAAGTCAGTCCTCTGATGATTCCAGGGATTCCTTCCTGCTGTGTCTCCTGAACAGCAGCACGAGCTTCCTGGCAGGCTTCGCCATCTTCTCCGTGCTGGGCTTCATGGCTGAAGAACAGGGCGTGGACATCGCCGCTGTGGCCCAATCAGGTGAAACGCGCAGAAACAGTAATGTCGTCAAACATGAAATTAAGGAAGAAAAACTGGAAGAGAAACTGTGCCGTTTGCATCAGGGCACCATTAGCTAACTAGTCATTTGGGATTCTCTGGGGCAGGTCCGGGTCTGGCCTTCATCGCTTACCCGAGAGCCGTAGCCATGATGCCTCTTCCTCAGCTGTGGGCGGTCTGCTTCTTCCTCATGATCATCATGCTAGGTCTGGACACACAGGTAGGCTCTGGTGTGTGTGTGTGTGTGTGTGTGTGTGTGTGTGTGTAGCAGCAGCATCACAATCACTTCCTGTCTGACCCAGTTTGTGAGCCTGGAGGCCCTGATGACCTCGGTCACAGACCTGTACCCCCACCTGATCCGCCGCGGCCGGCGCCGAGAGCTGCTGCTGCTGGTGGTGTGTGTCGTCTGCTTCCTGGTCGGACTGGTCATGGTCACACCGGTGAGGTGTTGGTTCTGGGTGGAGGAACACACACACACACACACACCGTTTGGTAATAATGATGCTTCTCTGTTCCCTCCTCCATGTAGGGTGGTCTCTACGTGTTCCAGATCTACGACCACTTCTCCTGCAGCGGAGCCAGCCTGCTGCTCCTCTCCATCTTTCAGTCATTAGCCATCGGCTGGGTCTACGGTACCGTTCTGGGTTTATGACCTATTTAGTTCAATCTTCTCTTTCCAGCTTTTATTACATTTTCTTCTTATCAATAATGAAACGAACCCCCAGAGTTTAATAGAAGCTCAGACTCTCGAACTCAGTGGCCTCCATGTTAGGATGTCTCTGTGGGAAGGAGTCTGGATCCTTGCCAGACCCTAAATCAGCCCTCAGGCCCCGCCTCCTCTCAATCTGGGCCCGGGGAGCCGCTATCCCAGCCAGGGACGGGCCTCTGAAATCAGGAAGTTCCTGCTGCTGGTTAGGTGGTCCACACTTTAGTAGTGACGACAGGCGTTTGAGGGAGAAAACGTCTCCTTTGACATTAAAATAATCTGTTTTTGTCTCCAGGAGCCGAGCGCTTCAGCTCCAACATCAGAGACATGACCGGCTACGACCCGCTGCCCGTCTTCAGGCTGTGCTGGAAATACCTGACCCCAGCCGTGTGCACCGTGAGTCATCTCCATCACACAGAGATGCATCAGGCCCGTGTCACACAGCAGGAGGTTACAAAACACGACAGACCTCACGCGAGGAACCAAAACTTCACAGATATACCAGTTGTAGACCGGCGGTGTGTGGTGTGCTGCCACACGGCAAATGCTGCTGCAGCGTCCTGGATCCTCCTGCATCCCGCAGAGGGAAAAAAACAGGAAACAAACTTTAATGTGAAATAAATTTGGTTTTGTTTGCATCAAACGGTTATTAGTAAATAAATCTTGAGTTGCGTTTTTGCTGCATAAAAGAAGCTGTAATGAGGTTCTCTGTCTTCCTAAGGCTACGTTTATCTTCTCGCTGGTGCGCTGGTCCCCGCTGGCTCTGGGTAAAGGGCTGGTGGCTCCGCTCTGGGCCTCCACGCTAGGCTGGCTCCTCACCCTCTCCTCTGTGTCCCTGCTGCCCATCTGGGCCATCTACGCTCTCGCCACCACCCCGGGAACCCTGGCACAAGTGAGACCCACGCACGTCCCATCCAAAGCCGCTGAAGGTTTTTTAAATACCTGGTGACCGCTTCTTTTTTCGGCTTCACAGCGTTTCCAGTTTCTCTGCAGTCCCACCCCAGTGTCCTCTCCGGCCTTCAGCCACATCTCCACCAGCAGCTCGCTGCTCACCTACAACCCCGTGCGCCCCTTCTCCGGGAAACCGAAGGAACAAATGGTAGAACTGATCCAGGAGAAGACCACATGACTATAATCAGCATCGCGTGTCGCTGCTCAGCCAACCGTGTGTGCCGAACAGGAAGTTTATTCCCAACAGAAGGGCGGGATCCTCATCAGATCAAAAGACCTGCTGCGTCTTACGGGAGCAACGCCGCTCGCTTACACACGCTTAAAACTCGTTGAGCGACCATGTTTACATTCAAGAAGATGCCTACAGGACATTCCTGCTAATCCCAAAACAACCAGTTGGAAAGTTTTCACTCCTGGATCACAACCACTTCCCTAGCATCTTCTTTATTGTTTACGTTACTGTACACAAGGACCAACTCATCACAGCCGTTTTAACGCACAAGTTAGAAACGCTAATGTTTGTTTTGTCAGCATCGTTCCAGCCTAACCCTATACTCTCTATGAGAGACGGATCTCCGCTCGTGCTAGCTTGGCTTCTGAGACGACTCCATGAGTCGCGCCTGTAGGAGCTAGCATAGTTCGAATGGTTTCCAGCAAGTTGTACGGCCAGACCGAGTCAAGGTAATGCTCCAGTTTTAATTAGCCAGGTAGCGCTTTTGCTGCCAGTATACCAACAAGGTAACGTGAAGAGTTCGTTCAGTCAGTCAAAACTAGCTGTTAGCTTATCAGTCCACTCAGTACTCTCTGAGCTGAGGCTGTTTAAAGAGCCACAGGTAAGATGACTACTACTTTAAAGCTTCTGAACTATTGCTTTAATCTGATTATTTATTAGTTGTGAAGTGAATGCTAGAATGTGCAGTAATTAGTCTTTTTATGATGCAGTGTAGAATTCAATTTTTTAAAGAAAATGAAGGCATTATTAGCTGAAAGCTGGAAACAAAGAGAAAATCTAATTGAGTCAGCGCGTATTCTAGGGATGCAGCAATACACCGCTTTACTGATTCATTTTTTTATTGGTTGTGTGAAGGAACTCAAGATTTCTCCACTTTTATAAAATAAGGTAGTGCAGTTACGTCATATCTGTTACGTGAACATCATCCTTATGTCCTTATGCTAGCTGGCACTAGCATCGCTAGCAGGCGCATGCACGAGTAGTGCTAATGGGCACTAGCAGCGGTAATTAGTGCTAGCAACGCTAACAGGCAATAGTGGTGCTAATACTTCCTGGCATTGCTACCAGACATTAAAAGTGCTAAAAGGGGCTAGCAGCGCTAACAGGTGCTGTCACTACCTAGTCTGGAGTTAGCATAAATGTGATGCAAGTCACCAAACTCACGTTAAAGCTGTGTTCGTTTAAAGAGCCTCTTAACCAATAACAACTCTTTTTTGCGATAAATGTAAACGTTTTCTCAGACAATCGTGTTCCTGCGATGCTCTGACTCCGCTACAGACCCAGCTCAGAGTTGGAACAATTTATAGGAAAATCAAAATCTATTTTTTTGTTTTGTGAATTTATTGTTTGTTTAGTTGTTTAAAAAGTTCGACTGTATCTTTTATAAGAAAAGCTAAAGTGGAACATATTATGGTCTATTTTTTAGGATGATCGTAGAAAGCTTCACGGCTATGAGGTTAGTCTGAATTTTACAGATAAAAATAGTATCTTGTTGGGCTGCAAGAAACTGCAATAAAATCTGCACATTTCACACTTTATTATTCACTATCATATGTCAAAACTGCAAATAAGTTGTTACATTTTTAGCCATAGCCAAGTTGCAGCAAATGGTATAGCATAGCTCTTCTACATTAGCATTATGCTAATAGGCGCTGGCAATGCTAGCATCTATCCGTAGTCTGCAATAAACAGAAATGTGGTGTAAATCACCAGAACCCACAGAAATTTCATGTTAAAGCTAATCGTGTGAACACTTCTTTTGCGTTACTTACTCAGGAAGGGATCAGGCTTCGTGTGTCACATCTAAAATGGTCCCCAGTGAACATGGTCAGTCTTTCTGACAGGACAACACACAGTGATGGCATGTTCAAGTACTTCAAGATCTAATCTCACCATGTTGTCCTTCACAAGTCAGAACTTACACGAGTTTTCCACAAATGCATAAGTTTCGCGTAGCGTCCGCTAAGCATAATACGCAGCTACTAGTCGTCTTTGGGTGGGATTCCACCTGCCACAAAGCGATGCGTCTTCGACACGTCCCAGAAGCAACGTGTTGCGCATGCTTTGCTTTAGATTGGGCTGGACGAGAACATGGGATCAGTGTGACATTTTCGGCACCTTTCAAAATAAAAGACATTCAGGTTTCCTGTTGCTTATCTGGTAAAAGAACGACAGCGTCTTTACCTGTGAAACCGCAGCAGCTAAGGTCAAAAGAACAAAAAATGAATCACAGACCATTTGGAATTATGCGACTGTCTTTCTCCTTTCTTTTATCATGTGAAATTGTGGAAACATGCGTGATCTTTCAATTCTCTGGTGATTTTGTGGCATTGTGGGATCAGCCTCGTGGAACGCTTTTGCTGCAGATTCACTTCTAAAATGCTCCCGGTGGAAAGCAGCATGCCTCTGAGCTCTTAGGGACCGCGGGTTGTTTACGTTAAAGCTGCTATGGCGAGTCTACAGAATAAGCAAGAATAACACACACCCCACCCCCCCGGGGATCTTCCCTGAGATGCTCCTGCCGGAACCAGAAACCCGCGAGTCCGGACGAAACAAGACAGCGCTAGTGGCCGTTTTCTAGGTCCAAACGTCTTTGTTGTTCGTGACTACAAACAGCGTTTGTCTTTCTGGGACTCTGGTAGTTTGTCCTAAAGTTGAAGTGGTAGCAGCCGGCTGTTTCTCCTTCTCTGATATTATTGAGCGGAGAACCTGTTGCTAAATACGCAAGTTCCTAATGAGTAGAGGATCCAAGGAAGTTCAGCGAGACTAACAACTGGATGGTCCGATGGTTGCTTTCTGTTCCAAATGGATCATTGCCGGAGGTTTTTAGATAAATGCGAGAAAACCGATTTATTAAGTTTTTTGTTTTATTATCTCTACAATATATTTATTGCTAAATTATGTTAGAACATTAAGAGGCATTTAAAGTGTTTTTAGCTAATTTGTTTATGCAATTTGCCGTTGCAGCTATAAGCATTGTTAACGCTTCCGGTCGAAAGCCCGGGTAATGTTCGCGTGGCCACCCCTTCGAAAGTCACCTTCCATTTTTTGCACTTTCTAACTGAAGGTAAAGTTAAAGTCCCTTTAGTCACCACACACTGGTGAATTTACATGTCTGCATTCGACCCATCCCCGTGGGGGGCGGTGAGCTGCAGCAGGAGCCCCAGTCCAACCCCTTAAAGCTGAGTGTCAAGCGGGGAGGTGCTGGGTCCCATTTTGAAGGTTTTGTTGTGACCCGACTGGGAATTAAACCCCGATTGAGAAGGAAACTGTCTTGGGAAGAGTTCCAGACACTTGCAACAACTCTGAGACTATTTTTGAGGGGAAATTTATCCGTGACGTTTTGAACTTGTAAAACAGCAAAAGGACTGACGCCCTGACTCCAGGATTTTCACTAAGGCCATTCGTTCTTTGTGGAAGACGTTCGCAGCCCAGTAAGATACTAGTTTTAGATTTTCGATAGGTTGATTTTTGAGAAAATATTATGTTTAGTACCTAATAGAAATTATGATGAAGAAATTTAGATTTTACTTGAACTTTTATTCTTGAAGTAGAAAAAAATGTTATAAAATAAAGATTTAGGGACAAATTTGAACAGTTCTCTGTAATTTGGATGAAATTCACCCCAGAAGAATGTGGTCAGTATATGTTGCGTGTATAAAAAAAGTTTGTAATAATTTGTCACTTTAATGAAAAAATGTTTGAGGTTTTTTTTCTCTTTTTAACCAAAGTTCTTGTTTAGTTGCAGAATATTTGTATGAAAGAGTTTTTATTGATAAAACAGGAAGCTTCTGGTGAAGAGTCACTCTGACACACTTTTAGATACAAAAGCTTGAGACGTCAAAGTCTCATCTGAAGATGCCTTTTTCACTTGTTACCCGTCGGGTTTACAACCAACCCACTCTACTGTCCGTTTGCTGAACTGTAAATCCAGAACCGAGTGTAAACCTGATGAGCTGGTGTGACGTTTTAATCGTTCTGCTGCTTTCCAGTCCTGGATCAGAGGTTGGGACTCCTGAAAGTCCTAAACGTTTCCCCTCTCACTGATCCAGATGTGTAATCATCGGTTTACGGCTGTATACGTGTGCCTGTTCTTTAAAAACGTTACGATTACTTTCATTTTTAAACGAATAAATGTGCAGGAGAAGAAAGTTCTGGTTCTGTTCATTTAACATGTGTGAGAAGGTGTGTGTGTGTGTGCGTGTGCAGGTGCTTCAACAGCAAATACCTGTGGTCCAGTTGAGCTGTCGCCCAGGAGACGTGCTCCCAGCCCTTGCTGCCATGGCAACGGATGCTGAGAACACACCTGAAGAGAGATCTGGAGACACAGACGCTCCCATCCTGATGGGAATTCTTCATGTGGAAGAAAAGAGAGAGAATGGTGTGTGTGTGTGTGTGTGTGTGTGTGTGTGTGTGTGTGTGTGTGTGTGTGTGTGTGTGTGTGTGTGTGTGTGCGCGCAGCAGACAGAGCATGGTGGTTACATAAATGGCTCGTCGATTAACCGTATCGGATTCCCTCTCCGCTCAGCTGCTGCAGGAAGTGTCCGCTCTCACACACGTGGCTCGGCACGCGCTGCTCACTCTCTCACACACACACACAGATCTTGTTTTGGTTTGCAGGCTGCCTCACACGTGTGTATAATGGGGGACGGTTTCTGGATCATGTCCATATGGATGCTTTGGCAAACATCTTCACATGACGGGGATTAAAACAGATCAGAGTGGCTGAGGGCGTGCGAGGAAAGTTCACGTCCCAAGCCTGCAGCTGCAGCACTTCTCACCAGTCTCACCGGTCTCTTCGTACGGTGAAACGGAGTAGCACTCGGCAGCAGTCTGTGGGAGGGATCGGAGACTTGAGGACAGGAAGGAAAACTGAAACGGGCAGTGGGGGTGGGATTGCGTAACAGGAGGGTGACCGATTTTAGCTTGACACCCGATGCCTGCTGCAGGTGTTGGTGAAGCAGCAGGGCCGTAGCAAAGCTTTCACACGGGTCAAGAGTTAGAGTGCCCCCTGATTTTTGACTCCGCCCACTTTAATTTAAAATCTTCCACACTAATGTAGTTTGTTGTGACGGAGCTGAGGGAGAGGGAGTGCTGGGAGCGTATGGTGGCATCACATCGTGTCCCTTCTTTCTTTTTGATTTGGGTGCACTTCCGCCATCCGCCCACTCCCTGCTGCCCACACCGCTCGTCATCCTTTGGATTAGGAACTTAAAGGACGTAATTCCAGGACTTCCTCCTGAAACCAGATCGTTAGGGGTCGTGATGTGACTCAGCAGCACGCTCCATCCAAAAACAAGCAGCCTCAGGAGGGAAGTCCTATTCTGGAAGGGTCATAAATAATCCATGTCCCATTGCTGAAAACGCTCCAGTCAAACTCCCGTTTCAGGTTTAATTATTAAAGGATTGGAAAAGTAAAAACACTAAAGCTGGCGGAGGTGATGCTGATCTGTAATGATGATGCTTCTGTCCCTCCGTGGAGGCATTGTTTAGGTTTCTCTCCTCCAGCTCTCCTGATTTGGGGGGAGGGGGGGAGTGGTGATGGAGCAAAAGGGGGCAGGACTTTTCTCTCCGGGTCCTATTAAGAGCAAACTTTGTTTTTGTTCTCCAACTTCAGCTCAGTCCTCTGCAGGCTGCGCTCTAATCCTCCTCCCGTCTCTCTGTGGGTTTGTTTTTCCTCTCCTGTTTCTGTGTGTGTGTGCGCGCGCGCGTGCACGAGGGATCAGGACGCACGGAGGATGCGCCTTTTGGAGAGACAAACACCCGAACTTGTGCGTCCGGCCGCTCCGGGGCTGTTTTAGTGGAGACTCCCATGTTTTTGTGGCTGGAGTGAGGAATGCCGCGGCTCCTTGGAGCGCTGACCGGGAGCATGCTCCGGGTTCGGCTGCTGCTGCTGCTGTGCACCGTGGAGTCTGGAGCCGGGGTGCCCCCCTTCCAGGGGTTCTACCTTCCACCTGCCAGCGGCTCGCTGCTCTCACCTGCCCGGAGGACAGACGGGGTGGTCCAGACTATTGACCGGATTTACCACGGTGGGGGGAAGGTGGGCTACCTGGTGTACCTGGATGGGAGGCGCTTCCAGCTGGACATGGAGCGGGATGAGTCGGTGCTGTCGCATCACTCCAGCCCCCAGTATGTGCGCGTGATGCTGGGGCAGATCCCCATGCAGCGGGAGTGCGCGTACCGGGGCACCGTGGACTCCAACCCGGAGTCCCTGGCCGTGCTCAACCTGTGCGGGGGAGGTCTGGAGGGCTTCTTCGCCGTCAACCACTCGCGCTACTCCATCACCCCCATCATCAGGGCAAGGGGACACGAGCACGACGTGCGCGCCCTGCACGATAGGGACGCGGAGAGCGCGCTTCACGTGTTCACGCGTGAAAGTTTCAGCTTCGAGGCTTTGAGCGAGGGACGCGACAGCTGTGGCACGCGCGACGGGCGCAGGGGACGCCGGCACGCCAAGCGGAGAAAAGGGAGGAGGTGGTGGAGCCGGTTCGCCACGGCACCGGCAGCTACGGAGCCTGGCGCGCGGCGCAGGAGGTCGGTCTCACGCGCCAGGCACGTGGAGCTTCTCCTGGTGGCGGACGAGACCATGATCAAGAAATACGGACGGGACCTGAACCACTACTTGCTGACTCTGGCCTCCATCGCCTCCAAGCTGTATGGGCACGCGAGCATCGAGAACCCCATCCGGCTGTCCGTGGTGAAGGTGACCACGGTGTCCGAGAAGGATAAGGGGCTGGAGGTGTCCACCAACGCGGCCGCCACCCTGAAGAGCTTCTGCAAGTGGCAGAACCAGCAGAACTCCCTGGACGATGACCACCAGCACCACCACGACGCCGCCATCCTCTTCACCAGGCAGGTAAACAAAACACTACCTGCGCCTTTTACGCGCCGGAGCGGGTTTGCGCTCCGGTGTGCTGCCAAGCGTGGAAGTGACGAACTGGGTTGTTTTGGTTCTGGTGGTTTTCCCGGAGGCAGCTGCTGGCTCACTGGAACTGGAGAGGCTTAATAAACACAGACGGGAATGAAAATATGAGGCTCCGTTTGCAAAAGAACACGGCTAAAAGATTAAAAACCTTATTTCACCACAGATGGCTTCAAATTATAATCTAAATCTAAATAACTACCTAAATAAAAGCAGTCTGAGGAGATCCCCTCAGTGTGAGGAACAGCAACGTGGATCCCGTGCTGATCCAAGAACAGACCTTTGAGATGTTAGGATTCATCTTCACCCCGCTTTATTTAGTCAGGCCAAGTTTCATGTCACAGTTAGTTATTATTTAGATGTGATCTATATTTACATGTAGACATGTAAACGATAAAATTCTTTAAAAAACATACAAATATGTTTATTATGCATTAAGTTTAGTTTAACTGATCTATTCCAGTTCAAAGCTCACTGTTGTATCAGCCTGGTAGCCCTTCTATGGCTCAGTACTCATGAAGCAGGCGTTCAGCTTCACAAAGGTTGGTGAACCCTCCTTTAGAGGTTTCAGCCACATTTATTTTGCTGCTACGAGAGAACGATGTCAGCTTTTTGGTGAAATCACCATAAAAATAGCTGCTAACTGCACGTTTCTTCTTGATTCCTCTGATTTAAACACCGGTTCAGAGGCAAACGCTGCACCTTCTCCTCCCTATGTCGGTGTCTTTCATGTTTTCCCTCCTGGGTTTTTTCCCACGTCTTCTTTTTTGCTGAATCTGTGCGTGAAGTGGTTCAGCGTACGTCAAACGGCCATAAAAACAGTATTTCCTGCGCCTGGTATTTTTTCTGGGCAGCCTCCCATATCTCCATCCTCCTCCCAGTCCCCTGACAGCCTGGGGAGTGTGTGTGTGTGTGTGTGTGTGTGTGTGTGTGTGTGTGTGTGGTGCACACACATTCTTCCTAGAGAATTAAGAATCAGCTGCTGGGATTTATTGCAGAAATATCTCCAAAAGGAAAAAAAACACTCCCTTCAAACTGGATTTCATAAGATCCTCCCTAAATTCTTCCTCTCATCGCTCACACATATTTTCACTTTCCAGTCTTGTCAGGAGTTGGGAGCTCCTCCTAGGCTGGAATAAGCAGAAAACGAGCATCTTTCCCGTCTTCTGCCGTTCCTTTTCCCTCCTCTCTGTTCCCGGCTCGGTCCAAACCCGCAGGGCAGCAGCATTCTTCACCTCTCCGGGTGTGGCTTCACGGTGGTTAACTCCAGTTGATGTGTTAGACAGCTTCGTCTTGGCGTGTGGTCGCGTTAGAGTCATGCAAGGTCTTGTCACGGCTCACACGTGTTGCGTTGCACCGGTTCCTGCTACACTCGTGCACAAGTTGGCGAAGTTGCAGGTGATGCATACCTGAGGTCGGCGTGCTGGCAGACACCTAGTGGGTCATTGGTAGCTTTGCTGCCACACACCTGCAGGAGTTAGTGAAAGTCAGAGAGCGACGGGACCCTCGGATGTTTGGGTTTGGCAGCGCTGGGCAGGGTCAGGCGGGCACGGAAACGCGGCAATCCAGACTCGGTTTAAATAAAGATAGACGGGCTTTGATCTTGGAACACCCTGGCGTTACTCAACAAGATTGTCTTTCTGCTTCAAATTTAGTCAACTTGTGAAAAGGTGTGAATTTCCTTTAAATGTGTTTCTTGCCTTCTGCTACACCCGGCGTGTCCTCCATATCACTAGAAAAAGCCTAAAAGATCCATATCAGCTAAAATCCTGCCTGCCTTTAAATCTGGTCATCCTGTCGAATCAGCACTTAGTATTCAGCCTTTTGGGGTCGTGTTCCCAACATGGCCTTCAACTCCCTTTGACCTTTGAACTCTTTGGCTATTAAAGACCATCATGGGGATTATTTTTGTTTATGTTTCTGACCACTTTGGCAGAATGCGGAGCAGGCTGTACCTGTCCAAACACACCAGTCGGCCCCATGGGAGTGATGGGAAGTGGGATTCAAACACAGCCTTCCCTGGAGAATCCCTGGTAATTTGTGCACACCAGGATTTGTGCGGATGTGCGAAGCAAAGATGCAGGTAGCGTGTGAAACAGTTGCATTCTTTCCAGGAAACACACGTGCACGGATTGTGAGAAACGACGTGCATTCATTAGTGTTTCCATTGAAAGGAAGCCAGGGAAGAAATACCGTGATTTTTTCCAGCTTTCCTGTATTTTCTGCTGGAAAATGAAGTTTAACTTAATGAGAATGAGCATTAACCATTTCTCAGTAAAATAACCTCAGTCTTAACTCTTCCGTGTTGTGAAGCGCATCCCGACTGCAGACATCAGCTCACTTTTCTCACCAGTCCACAGAATTAAAGGAAACTCGTTTCTTTTGTTGTTGGGTCCAATTACTCCCTGATTCTGTGCTCTCGGCAAGCTGACCCATACAGCAGTTCCACACATACCAGAACAAAACAACGAGCACATTGAGGGAACCCGGGAAACTTCTGAGTGTTCCTCTGTATGTGGGAATATTAAATGTGACGCATGGTTGTCCTGTTGTGGGCTTGGATGGTGAACAAAGCCCCGCTGTATGAGCAGGACGGAGCACCAAAGCTACTGATGAACCAACCTGTACTCCAACTTATGGGGTAATAAAAAAGTTACATCTACTGTATATACAACGTCATTTCAAATTAGGTCAATTTGGCATAGTTTAGCCTGTTAGTAGCAACATTTAGTCAGATGTAGCATGCTAAATGGCCTGTATAGCACCTTCTTATGATTCTACAACCCCCCAAGGCGCTTGACAACACAATCAATTATCCACCCTTTCACACACACATTCACAATAGTCACATTTAGCATGTTAGCAGCAGTATTTAGCCGGATGTATTATGCTTTTGGCAACATTTAGCCGCAGTATTTAGCCAGATGTAGCATGCTAATGGAAACAAGTAGCAGCAATATTTAGCCAGATGTAGCATGCTAACAAACTTAAAGCTTAGTTTCTCCTTCTGCGTCGGTATGGAGACACGCAAGGCCATTATACATCCTTGCAAGGGCTCTCCAGCAGGCTCGCAAGGACGTACGGAGTCAAGCCCACTTTTCTAAAAATCCATTGAACGAGATGGAGAACGCAAGCTTGTGATTGGTCAAGATGCTGCTTTCATCAGTAGCACTGCCATTGCCCCCTCAGCGTTTTATTCGTCGACAGAAATGACGGAAAACTTGGGTTAACCATAGAATGGTAAATGGCCTGTATTTGATATAGCGCCTTCTAGAGTCCTGGAACCCCCCAAGGCGCTTTACAACACAATCAGTCATTCACCCATTCACACACACATTCACACACTGGTGGGGATGAGCTACGATGTAGCCACAGCTGCCCTGGGGCGCACTGACGGAGGCGAGGCTGCCGAGCACTGGCACCACCGGTCCCTCCGACCACCACCAGCAGGCAACGTGGGTTAAGTGTCTTGCCCAAGGACACAACGACAGTGACAGACTGAGCGGGGCTCGAACCTGCAACCTTCTGATTACAGGGCAAGCACTTAACTCCTGTGCCACCATGGACACTAGAAGTAGTGTGCCATTTTTTTTGTCGCCTTTCCTACAATAAGGGCCTCTTTATTAGCGTTACTTAGTGCATTATTTAGCATTAATAAATAAATAAGCTCTTTATTAATGTTCCCGACTATTAAGTTTCCTTAAAGTCAGGACAAAGGGCCTGAATAGTAATGCTTTACTGAATATTAACATTAAGCAGTTAATACTTTAATAGTTTATTAATGCTTAAAAACGCACTAAGTAACATCAATAAATGGACCCTCATTTTAAAGTGTTACAGATATTGCAACATGTGACTAAATATTAATAATAAATGCCAAAAATAAATCTTTCGTTTAAAATCTCAATAAATTTGCTTAGAAAATATTATTCTAATCCACACACACGTGCTTTGGATTTAAGCTAAACCGATAGCAAAGTTGCAGATAGATTGCTGTTAAATAAAAGTAACCCACCAAAGTAAGAGTGGGACGAGACCCACTGTCAGAGTTTATTTGAGGGCAAGATTTTGAAACTGTTGAGCCATGGATCTTGTACCCATGGTTCATTAAAGACATGTTAAACTGGGGGTCTCTTCACCATGCTTTTATTTTGGTAATATGATCATGTTTATCTGAATATACATGTAAGTTAAACACATTTATATTGACTTTTCAACATTAAAATAAATTATATGTTCGAATTAAATTCTAAATACTTAGATTCACCATAATTCATTTAGATTTGATTTTAAGGATTTAAAATGATCTTTATCTTTAGATTCGGTCTGTTACTTTAAATTAAATGTGTTAGAACATAGCTGATTACAACCAGCACCGCATGTGAACTCTGTCCTACAAAACTGAATGTACAGTCTAGTTTCTGTTGGTCTGTACAGTAAAGTGTACATTTCCCAGCCCTCGCCCCCATCACAGCCAGCCCCTGTATTTGTTTTAAATGCTCTTGATATTTCACACGTGCTTTACTACGTCTGATATATGTTGACAACCTGCAGACAGTTCCCGGAGCACAAAGCCATGACCTCGGCCCCTGGTCTGTCAACGTTACGCAACTGGACAGAGCTTGGAGATGCATGGCTGACACAAAATAGCCCACTCCTGTTAGCAGTCGTGGTGGAAAATACCTTTGCACAGGTCCATGCGCCTACGCAAATACAACACAACACCTATTTAACAATGGCTTTGTCTCTGATAGATTAGTTGTGGCATCAGACTGGATGTTGCTTTGCCAGAAAGCTGGAGGGGAATGTTCCTCTCGTTAACGTGCACATTTCTGACAAAAACAAAGGTGTTTTTCTAACGTCAGTTCCTGAAAAATCTAGAAAACATATGCAAGGAAGAGCTTCACACAATTTAAACAAAAACTAAGATCAAA